TCATTTTAGCATTGGCAAAGAAGTTACTCATTTATTCCCATCTATGTCCACATAGACAGGGTGAAGTCATAGAATTTCTTCTTAAAAGTGTTATAACAAAGGATGAAGTTCTGTGTTCTGTAACAAAAAGAAGAAAGGGTGACTCACTCAATGGTAAGCAATTTTCCATGCTTGTACAACACATTAATTGTGCAGACAAGGCTGGATCCCAGGTCTCCTGACATGTAGTCCAGTGATCTTTCTATTGTGTGTGTGTGCTTTGGGCTTAATGATTCCTGGAGTATCTTGGCATGCAGGTTAAAAGCATATAGTCCTTAAGAGTGTTGGTCATTACTCATGCATTTTGTGTGATATCTCTACTACTGCATATTATTAACTGTGTAATAATTAATGGCCCTTCATTAGTTGTATATTTTTAACTGACTTTTTTAGAAAAAATTAGTCTTTGCCTCATAAAAACAATAAAAAATCAAATGAATTTGCATTGGTTTTTCTGCTTACTAAAATTACCTACTACTCCCAAAATATATTTTTTCTAGCATACCTGTATCACCCAGCTCTATTGGACTGAAATTCCAATACAATTTAACTTTTAATTATATTTTCAATATACTTACTAATAATGGAAAGAAACACTTAAATTTATTGTTATTATAGTTAGAGAAAGTCATCTATCAAGGTTTTAATTTGTTCAAGAAGTAGTGGAGCGGGGGGGAAGCGAAATTTTGATTTTTAGAGTGCTGTTTTCCAGCTGACTGTGTTAAGTGATCCTTTCTGTGACAAAGCACTTGGCACAGTCTTGCAAAGATGTTTGTGTTACTTTTACATCACTATCCATTTTAACAATAAGTTGTTACATGGGGCAGGTAATAATTTATAGCAGGTGACCAGTATGACTCCTGAAGTGTTTTGCAAAACCAATTCCTCCTTTCATTTTTTAGTGTTGTTGTAATACTCTCTTGCTAAGACTATGACAGTTACCTTGTCACAGGTATGCCCACATACATTCCTCTCCACACATACACACGTTATTGCCAAAGAAACTATATATTTAAAAACAGATTTGATATTACTACTTCTAAAAATAAAAAAGTATCATTAGATCTTTATGTTAGAATAAAACTATGATGTCCATCAACAATATCCATCGTCTGGCTCTCTAATTTGCAATTTTCAGCCTCATTTTTGGTTACTCCCTTCACAGTAATACATGCAGTTAAGCTACTTACATTATGTCCCCAAACATGTATTAGCTATTCTGCTTCACAAGCATATGGTTAAGCCATCAGCTTAGTATGGATTACTACTTTCAATCTCCATTAAAATCTCACGCTCTCTTCTTGCACTCAAAATTGTACCTCCTGGAAAAGCTTCCATACTGCCTTCCTCCCAGTATAGGCTTCTCCTTGGTATTCCCATTAGCTCTGGGATGTTCTCTTATGATATTTATTATATAATTTCTCTTCCTCCATCTTCTGTATTCTTTTTTCCAGGAACACTGGTTCAAGTTGGATATTTGTGGATTTTTTATATTTCTTCTGTACTTCGTGTTTTTTCCATCATATATACATATATATGTATGTATATATATTAAATATATTTTTATTGATTTCAGAGAGAAAGGGAGGAGAGAGAGAGAGAAAAAAAACATCAACAACGAGAGGAATCATTGCTTAGCTGCCTGTGCACTCCCCACACTGGGGGTCAAGCCCACAACCCGGGCATGTGCCATGACCAGGAATTGAACCATGGCCTCCTGGTTCACAGGTCTATGCTCAACCACTGAGCCATGCCGGCTGGGCTATCATATATTTCATTGCGGGGGGGGGGGGGGGGGTTGTTTATCAATGTCCTAAGAGATTTTCTAACCTTTTACTTCCATCCATTTAATTTCAACCATCATTTTTAACTTTTCGGGAGTATTTTTCTAATTCTCTAGTTGTTTTTGTTCTTGTTTTATTGATGTCATATTGCCTCATATCTGTGGAGATACTAATTGGATGGTATATAAATTTTCTTTTGTTCTCTCATTTATCTTGACCTTTCTTCATTATGCTGCATGTTTTGTGATTCTTGGTTGACCCTTCAGATGTATGAATGAGAAGTAAGAATGAGGGATAGGGATGATTTAAGGTTGAATGGGTAGGGAGCTGGCTCTTGCACCAGTGGCCTCCTAATTGTTAGAATGAATAGGGGTTTGTGTGTCAGATCCAATATTTCACCAGTTGCCCTGATATTTCCTTCAGTCTCTTTAGAGAAAGACCTCACATTATTTGCCTTATACTATGAATGGTCTCACCTACAACTTAACGAGATGTAGTGTAGATTTTTGAGACAGGAAACTAACAGGGTAAGATTAATTCAGAGAATATGCTGATGTGGAAGACACTAGAATAGGGAGACTTGAAATGTTAATGAAGAAACTGTAACACTTATCCAAGAAGGAGATAGTTAGGACCTGAAGTAGGGCATTAGTAACCCAATGAAATGGTTGGGGCAGATGAAAGAAATTATGAAGATAGAATGGTACATGTTTTAATAAATAGTTTGGGTAAAACTAAGGATTGAAACTAGTATAACTAGAAAAATGGAGGCACTTTTAAAAAGAATTATCAAGTCAAGGAGAGAAGTTGATTTTTGTGAAGCAATGAACTAATTCCTCCCCCTAGTTCAACAAATCTTTCCCATTTATGTAGTTGCAATTTTTTATATAATAGCAAAGATAGACTATTCTATGTGAATCATCTTTTCCTTGCAATGCCATTGTAGTTTCTTAGGGATGTTCTTATTTTTGTGTGAAGTATTATAAATCTAAATTGCCTTATGCAGTAATTTACAGAAGGTTGAGTATATGATAGAATTTAAAGAACTATTCTTTCATAATATCATGAATAATGTACAGAACTTAGTGACCCATAAGAGATGGAAGTTTAGATTTGGAAGGCCCAATCTAAATGATCAATTATAAGTTTACTTATAAATGATACCTGTCAAAAATTGTAATAATGGAAAGTGAAATCAAATCAAATTGGTGATAGTGCCCATGGACACTAGAAATGAGAAGTAAATAAATAAGTGATGGAATTTTTACTGTAGAAACAAAACATATGAACAACCTGTGTCCATTCTCTTCATTGCAGTAGTTCATCTATACTCCACTTCGTCTGATTTAATAATTTGTACTTTCTTGAGTGAGGAGTAAGCAAGGGGATAAAAGCAAAAGAACTCTTTATAATTCATGAGGGAAAACTTAGGGGAAACGAGAAGATTTGGGATTGTTAAAAAAGCTTTAAAAATAATAATTGTTTTTATTTTAAAGGGTGTAGGCAGTTGTATTTTGTTTCGTTTTTCTGATTTCTACATCGCATCCGACAGCAGAAAAGGTGCTGCCAGTTGCAGACTTCCCCACGAAGGGTTTCGCAGTGTCAGGTGACCTAAAAACAGTTGAAAACCCTGTTTTCATGTATCATATTACTTTCACAATGAATACACTCCTTTAGCATTGAACTTTGAAGTATTGTTTCTGTTTGTTCCATATATCCATTTGGTTATTTGTAATTATTGAACTGCCTTTTGAATCATGGACTTGCGAGGGGTAGAGATTTTCTGGTTCAGTGTTTCCCTAAGTGAGCTAGTCATCTGCACTTATAAAGCAAGGGCTCTGGCATCAATTATGTCGGGAAATTGCTAGGTTAAACACAGTTAGATAAGGTTCTTATTTCGGTGTGGGGGAGAGGGGAGGGCATCTCAGAAACTTTAGTACGATTACTAAGGGGAAACAATATATTGTATAGTGTTTCACAAACTCCTTATTTGACCACAAACTCCTTTCTTCATGGAGTCTGTTTTGGAACCACTGTTCCTCAGAACACATATGGGGAAACTCAAATCCCTTAAATTTACAGATACATAGAAAAGAGATAAAATGACTCATTGATGACTGCACACTTGTTTACCCAAAGAGCTGGACTTGAACCAACGTCTCCTACCATATTTCATTTTGCACCCTTTTGCCCCTAAATTCAGAAAAAAATCTTTTAAGACTACATGATATTCCAAATTAGATCTGTAAAATATACACAAGGGGTTTGAAGAAATAAACTCATGATTTTCAAACTTTTTTTAGTATATTTTGAATTGGCACATTTACTTTGACAAAAAGAGTAAGATCCAAAGAGCCAGTTCACATTTGTAATCAAGGTTATACTTTTGTAATCAGAAAACTTTTCTTCCTTTTTTTTTAAAAAAAAATCAACTGTCTTTCATGCTATAAAAATGTATTTCCTTTTAAGTTATGAAAAGTTCACACAGTACAATCATGTATATTATTGAAAAGCTTCCCCACTTTCCCAGAAAAGGACTGGAAGATGACTTTGTTGTTCCAGATTCCATCTCTACTAGTACATACATAAACATGTAGCATGTAACTTTTAAAGACTTCTTGACATAGATGGTAAACACACTCTTATTTAACCTTAATTTTTTAAATCAACAGTGTTGCATGTTTATCTTCCTACATTAATACATGCAGATCTTCTTTAAATGGCTCAATGACACTACATTCTATAGCTCTACTGTAATTTATTTAATCAATTTACCAATGATGGACATTAGGGTAGTTATTTTCTTACCAGATAGTGCTGTGGTAAATTTTGATATAGGTCTTTTTTTTTTTTTAACCTTTGTGTGAGTATATCTGTAGGAGAGTCCTTGAAGTGGAATTACTGGGTCAAAAAATATACACATTTAAATTTTTGTAAGTATTGCCAAATTGCCTTTAAAAAATGGTATTAGTTTATTCTCTCACTGCCAGCCTTGCAACAGGAAACTTTAAAATGGCATATAACCGTCACTGAACTTAAACAAAAAAGACTTTATATTTAGTAATGAGTAACAAAGAATATTTTGCTATGTTAATCTTAGAATTATAGAGATAATTTATAAAGCATTGATAATCATGATATCTCTTTCTCTTCCCCTCCCTCCTCTGCTCTTTACAGAGCAAATTATTCATGGAAGGATTTAGAAGCCTAAAAGAAGGAGAACCAGTGGAATTCACATTTAAAAAATCTTCCAAAGGCCTTGAATCAATACGGGTAACAGGACCTGGTGGGATCCCCTGTTTAGGAAGTGAAAGAAGACCCAAAGGGAAGACACTACAAAAAAGAAGACCAAAGGGAGATAGGTAGGTCATCATTGTAATTTGTTAGTTTGTGAGTTTATTGTATTTAGGAAAGACTTGAAAATTTATTTATATTTTTATATTATTGGGCTTCATATAGTCTAGTAAAAATAACATGCCACCACTACGTAGCTGAATGGAATTTTTCAGTAATATGGGCTCTCTTGCAGTTTGAGCTACCTGCAGAGTATACTGAACTGAGCGCTCAGCATTGCGCACTGATTAGTCGGTCCCCTGCCACCATTTTCATTAGGCTGTTCTTAGACCACAAATGAGGGTGGAGTTTTCAACAGAAAGAAATGCCTGTCTGTACATCCCAGCACCTCACCTGTTTTTTCAAATGGAAATATACCTAATTGTTTTGTCTGTTTTTAATGGATAACTCATATATATAGAAAATTCAAATAATATTAAAAAAAGAAGTTAAGGGGAAAAAATCACTTCAAATACAAACTGAAATGGGAATTACATTATTATGCAATTTTTTGAAACTTGCATTTGTTTTTTACTTAACTATATGTCACGGAATATTTCATGTCAATTATTAGCACCTACATAGCTTCCCACAGTGTGAATTAATATTGGGGCATTTCCAGTTTGGCAATCATAAATAGAGTCGCTATAAACATTTGGGTACCACTGTTCAAGAAACATAAGTTTTTCATTTATCTCAGAGTAGGATTGGTGGATAATATGGTCATAGCTATATATTTAATTTTATAAGAAGCTGCCAACATTTTTTCCAGAGTGATTATACTGTTTTGAAGCCCCACCAACAATATATGAGAGTTCCAACTGCTCTGCATCTTTGCCAGCATTTGGTATTGACAGTATTTTTTATTTTAACAATTCTAGTAGGTAGATATGTCATCATGGATTTAATTTTCATTTCCCTAATGGCTATTGGTATTGAGCTTCTTTTTTGTTTTTGTGTCATCCTTTTATTTGCTTTGGTTTATACCTTTTGCCTATTACTGGATTGTGTGTTTTCTTATTATTGCATTTTGAGAGCTCTTTATATAATTGTAAATAAAAGTTCTTTCTCAGACATATGGTTTGAAAATCTTTTTTTCTAAATTTGTGGGTTGTCTTTCCAATCTCTTAAACATCTCTCACAGAGGAAAAGTTTTAAATTTTGATAAAGACATTTATCAGTCTTTTATGTTATGTTTATGTGATGTCTTATTTAAGAAATCTTTGCTTAACCCTAGATCACAGAGATTCTTCACCCATGTTTTCTTCTTGTAGCTTTATAGTTTTACATTTTACATTTACATCTATAATCTTTCTAGAATATACTTTTGCATATAAGGTGTTTGGGTTAGGTGGAGGTGTTTTTTTTTTAATATGAATAATATGAATTGTTCAAGTGCTATCTATTGAAAAAATACCTTTTTTCTTGAAATGTTTTTAAGTTAGAAAGTTTAATCTACTTTCTGTCGTTTCAGGTTAAAATATTAAATCTTAAAGTTTTTATTACAGGCAATTAAAACATTTAACAAATTCAAAATTTGGTTTCACCACTTAAAAGAACTTACTTGTTCAATTCTAATCTATATTATATATATCAAATTTGTTATATATATAATTTGTTCAATTCTAATACATATATTCAATTCTAATACGTATATGATAAAAACACATTTTGTGAAGATTTATGTCTTTGTGGCAAGAAACAAAATAGTTTTAAAGATTTTTGCCTTAAATTTGAGTAGACTAGTTACAAAAGTAAGTGGGGTTATTTTTTCATTCTATCTTAAAATTGTTCTTAATTTAGTGTTCAGTTACTAGTGTCCAGTTACCCAGCAGCAGTATTATCTTGTTTTATTTTACATCCTCCACATTTAAAATGTTTTCTTAAAGTTTCAAATGAAATAATTTTAGATTTATTTTTGCTATTTAGTTTTTCTTATGCTCATTAACAAAGAGTAGAGATTGACTAACCCCTACAAAGCTCTCTTTATAGTAAAATGAAGGTTGTAAAGAAAAAATATTTTTAAACTCTGTATTTCTTCTCACAAACTGGCCTACATTATGATTTTATTCTTTAATAAACCACAATTTACTATGAGAAAAAGAAGTATTTTTTAACAGGAAGAAATTATGGGGGAAGAATGATTATTTATGTGTTTGGCACTGTTGATGTTTAGTATTTACATGAAATAATCATGTCAGCCTATAACATATAATTAAATATTTTATATAATAAAATTTCAGTTTATATTAACAAATATGTTATATTTATAAACAGCATGTATACTAAAATAACTCATTTGGAAATCTTTCTATGTAGGTTAAATTATTTTAATTCTTAATAATTAAAGAATAGAAACACATATAATTTTTAAAATCAGTTGAAGTGCATGCATACATGGGAGATGTATATATTGGGTATATACATATAGCTTCATATTTTTTAATTGTTTAAGGTGTTGTTGTTTTTTACCTCCTTTTTTATTCTAATTTTTTTCTTGGGTAGTGACTCTCTTCTTTGTTCTCTTTAACCTTCCACATCTTTTGACCCAAATAGTCCAAGAAGTGCTGTTTATAATGCAAGTTTCTTTTCAACAATCTTGACTTGAATGTTGTTCTACTGCTTTCATTCCATTTCAGGCAATATTTTATTTGCATCACTGCATTAGCACATGAGTAAGCTTTTTCATTTTCTACATGAGTTGGAATTTTAATGTTTTTGTTTTTTTTTAGAAAGAAGGGTAATTGTTATTTAGTTTAGTAGTAATGTTTTTGGCTTAAAAGTATAGGAAATAAGTTTCATTTGATCATATTAGAAAGTCTTGTTCATTTAGCATTTTAAAGATGCTTTTCCTTTAGACTTAAAATTGATTATGAAATGTAGCATTCCTTTTAGTCCACTATTAAAATGATATGAGAATGACATATTATATTTACTGTTTATGGTCAGAAAGACCAAGGTGAACATGAACAGAAACTCATTACATATATACACTGAATGGCCAGATTATTATGACCACCTGACGTTTGTAGGCAAATTAGCTATAATTTCACGCTGAAGTTGCTAGAGGGCCAGACCATTATAAATAAGGAAGCAGGTTGTTTACCACGACAGAAGAAGTGATTTTTTTCTGAAGATATGGGTAAACAACATGATTTAACAGCCTTTGAACATGGTGTGTGTGTGTATATATATATATATATTCTTAGCTCAGAAGAGCTAACTTGCCCTTTATAAAAATAAAAGTGGAGATGTATGATTACTTTTACAGGACAATAATTTTGTGTTTCAAATTCTTTTAATTTGCAAAAAGATTTGGAAGCCATAAGATATTGTTCTTTATTGAAGGACTATATATTTTGATTTGTTTATTTAAAAATATTCTTTGAATGTCCTCATTTACCTTAAGTATGCTTAAAACTTGTGGTAACCCTTCTCTAACCCCCCCCCCCACACACACACACACACACTCACACTCTCACCCACACATCTACAGCAGGATAACCACTTTTAGACATTATCTCTGTGGTTTTTCTCAGGTTCTTTATGGCTAGGAATTCAGGATATTTAAAATCTACATAGAATGCCTTAAAGTAATAAATCTATACTTAGGTGTATGATACAATGATATTAAGAATATCTGTTTTACATGAAAAGTTCTTTCAGTTATTTTATTTTCATATTTATTTCATGTGAGAACCTGCTCCCAAAAGAAAAAGAAAAATGCTCTTTAAGTCCTAGAGATATTTAAAAATGTAAATCCATAAATTCCAATAAATAACAGTTTCACCCTGATACTTGCGTGATTAGATTTAGGAATTTGCTGTTTCGTAGGTTCCTATTGTGGAAGAGAAATCTCTCAGGCATGAATTGATAGTCCAGATCCTTTGAGGTCTGTCTATTCTGACCTATGACCCCTATTCTTACAAGGTCAACATCTGAGGGCAGGAGATTAAGGCAGTTTAAAGACCGGAATGGTAAATGGAATGGAAAAATTAGCCAGCACATTTTGGGTGCAAAACATCAAAGTCATCAAATAGTTTGCTTATTTTAAACCTGGCTTATGGGTGTAACAAGCGAATTTTACTGTGTTTGTTGGAATCAAAAAAATTTAGTAATTATAATTCACTTCAAGAACCTATTTATGTAATAATATGTTTTGACTGTATACTATGAATTAAGTTAATAAAGTTTAACTTCAAAATATTAGGAAATGCAAAAATAATTTGTCACAGTGTCAATACATTTCAGTCTTGGAACTAGTTTGGGTACTTAAATTTAAATTAGGAAAACATTTACCTTAGCTTTTGGTATGAAATTTTAATTTATCAACAATGTTGAATAAAACACATACACCTATATCAGCTGATAATTTCAGGTGACTCGGGATTTAGTTGTAATTCTATGCTGTTGACTTTTAAGGAAAGTATGGCTGCAAAAGTTAGAGGTAGAAAATAGAAGAAAGTAAATTGATCAGGCAGGGACAGTTTGTTCTTTTTTCTCTTTTGTTTTTCTGATACTTTGCTCTTTTGATTTTACTTCTTTCCCTCTTAAACTGTTCCCCATGCCTTTGATTATATGCTTTTCATTGTAATTCCACAATATAGACCAGTAGATATCTCTTTTTAGTTCCTGTTTTCCGTCCCTTGTAAGCAATTCCCCAGCACCCTTTATTTTACATTTGTTTGTATCCTGGACAGCTGTGAATTTGCATCTTCTGCTTCCTACTAATGACTGGCAAGGCCTGGAGCTGAATAACTGAACTGTTGCATCCAACTTTCCATTCATCCATAAGGTGACTAAGGAAAATAGTAAAACCAATAGAATACCCAAGTCTCCTTAATTCTTCTACATTTTTTACTCTGTCTCACATTTACCTTATTATAGAGTTAATTTTAGGGTGGTTTTCTAAGTCCTTTCTTCTTGTGATTATTTGGCCAGAGATCTCCTAATGAGGCAATTATAGTTGTTTCCTTCATTCACATTATCTTAGCAGATGCTCTCCCTGCTGTGACCTCTGTTCAGACCG